GGGTGTTTTACTACATGTAGGTTTAATATTAGCTGAAGATTTGTCAGTTTACAGGCATGCTTGCACCCGATCCACCTATAGTATACTGTATGTACACGTATAAAATTCTTAGGGCTCAGTCCCAATGAAAACACCTGCTGACGTTGAGTAGAATACGGAAGCTGTTGATAAAATGAGTCCGTTGGGAACAAGAAGAAACGTGTTAATAGGTTTGAACAGCTTAAAAATCGAATTGCATTCAGCGAGAGTCTCCCTGGAGTTGGATAGATCTAGGTAGAACAATAGTTTCATTGGGAATGAGCCCTTGGATGGCTCTGTTGGGTATTTTTGTTACCCCCAAAAAGCCAATGTTTATTGTAAAACGTTCATATTAATTAGTGTGATCCGTGACTCGTAAATGCGGCCTTTTATTTTTCATCATTCGTGTAACAAATCATTAAATGCGGTGAATTTTGGTTTGCAACTCGTGTTTCCTGCATTTTCAATGAGATGTGGACAAGTTTGTAACAAGTTAGGGTCGTCATTTTCGACAAGCTACTGGTGGGTTACACTCACTCTCCCGTAAAGCAAATTAAACATTTGCTTTGTTTTCGTTTTTCTGATGTCAAGCAAGAAGGAGTTTTAAAATTATGTAAAACTAGTCGAAATGACAGGAGAAAACGAACCCAAGGACGCTCAGGATACGTGTACATGCGTTTAGGACCACAAGGTAGTTGTCTTCAAAATAGCAAGTGCATGCCATGCTGTTTGATATAAGAATAAGGTCGTATATAGAGTTTTCATTTTGATCAAAAATGAATCCTACGATGACCGCGTTTCTCTCACGGTCCCGTCCGTCGAGTTCCTGCCTCGCCGTGTATAGGTCAAATAGACATGTCTCTCAAAGTGTCACCCCGGGCCTTATAAAGGAAGTCGACGTTTTTCAAATTTGAGCCGCACATTTGTGATTAGTTAAAATACTTACTTTATCAAAATAAAGGGCTGGGCCCTGAGGACGTGTTTTTAAAAGCACCCCTTGCTGCAGGAACAAAATAATAAAGTATATACAGTATAATTTCAAAGGTTTCATGCCTAAGTTATATGTTTTTGTGATCCATAGATATCTTTATGATGGGGATCCCAGTGAACAGACAGTTGTAAGGAAGTAATTACCAATCGGTTGAAGTGTCTTGTCTCATTGCTTGAAGTTAAGAAAAACCTGTTAGTGCGGAAAAAATCTGCTCAGTTAAAAATTATTGATATGGTTCATGGTCGATAATAAAGGTTGCGTATCGCTGTTAGTTTTCTGGCAGAGTTCATATTGCAATTTCTCCAGCATCTTCGTCGGTCACCGTTTTCAGTTCCAATTTTCCTGGTCAATATCAGGATTGCTGTTATTTTCCCACTTTTCAGAATAAAAAGACTAAAATTGTGCTTCATGACGCCAATTGGTCCAATGTAAGAAGGATGTGATAAGAGGCGAGGCAATTAAGGACGCGTCAATAACATACATGTAAATCGATTTTCATGGTTTTTGTTTTATTAGACACTATTGAATACGATATTTTTGTTTATTTTTTATGTATATGATATACTTATTATTTGATATATTGTATATTTACTGTTATATATTCTTTTAAATTATCCGTATAATATTTATTTATTTATTTATTTATTTATTTATTTATTTATTTATTTATTTATTTATTTATTTGTTTGTTTACTATTTTTAATGAATGTGGCCAGAAATATATACACTTAATAGCCACAGTGTGTAATCAATTTAAGTTATTCAACACGTGTTTCTATACCAGTATCCCTGACAACACCCGAGACATCTATTCAAAGGAGAAAACAATTCAAAATTGAGTGTGGGAAATGTAATTTTCGAGAAAGAGGCTATATACAGTGGATGTGTGTGAGTGTTTATTGCTATTTGTGTGTGCCATGTTGTATTGTTCTTAATGGATTTAAATGCTCATGAAACTAAAAAAATTGAATCTGAACAATCTGCTTTGTCTGCGACTGCAGCAAAGGATGTTTGTCCTCCAGATGGCGCTATAATTTTGGATTTTTATATATCTTGAGAATTGTGTTCCTAAGTAATTGGCACTTTTTATGTTAAGTCTACAGAGCATTTTAAATGGATTTTAGACTTATAATAAGCATATTATTTTAATATATTAAAGAATAAATCATAGTAACGTCTGCTGGTCAAACATGTCAAAAACTGTTCAGTGGACCATATAAGGACAGCCAGTGACCTACATAATGGCGTGACATTTTGGGGAGGGTAAGGGTCTGGGATTTTGTTCTTCTTGTATATGTGAAAATATTTTAAACACTAATGGGTCCTGTTTATTTTTATTTTGATTAATACTCAATTTTATTCTTCACCTGACAGTTATTAATGAGTACTGAATAGAAAAAAAAAACACTTCATCCTGCCCCCCTCCCCCATGAAACTAATGGACCGTACAATTAAGAAAGAGATGTCACTTCTTCAGTTCTCAGTGACCAGGGAGTGGATATGAAGCAGACAAGAAACTAAGTATACGGATATTTAAATTTCAACCGATTCAGATCATCATTTTATGAAATTTAATTTTAGCATTTCATAATGGCTTATTTGTGACTCATTTTAGAAAAGTTTTTGGACACTGCATGCCTTTAAGTGGTTAGGCCATTCTCCAATATTTTCCCCACGTAACATTTCGCTTCCTCCATAATTTCATCCATGCATGTCCCAAGGAATTGAAAAAGACGGTTTTACTTTTCTGATAACTATATAAAACTTCATTTAAAGAAAATAATGACAGTCCATATTTGTACTTGAGAAAAAGTCAAGAAGGGGGAAATACTGTGGAGTGGCCCTTAAAGAATCCTAGTTATTGTGGCCTGTTTACACTGTATTCAGTGTCAGCATAGAGACGAAAGTTTAGCATATCAACATTTAGATACTCATACTCAGTAGAAAGGTATGTGTTGGGGCTCTTGCACCTCAAAACAACCAGATGTAAGATTGCTTCAAACGGTGGCACTTGTAATAACAGGTTATCATCTTGAAAGTAGGTCAAGGTGGTGCCACACTTGTAAAACGAGAGAAAGACTATCGATATTACGCACAGTTTGTAGTGTTAACAAGTTTGAATGGCATTTAAATTTAAAGATCGAGACGATTGCTTAATTCATTAACTGGGATGAATAATGCCCCTTGGGCATTTTGAAGATATTAATTTTGGATATATTTGCATTATGAAACAAGTAGACAAACTGGTACACGGAGGCTTCAATGAAATATTCTTTTTTACCACGAAAACGTCGGTGCTTGTGAAAAATGTTTTTAAAAATGCGCGGGAAGGATTAATCATCCCAGTTTTATCTCTAAATTTTCTGAAAACAAAGGCAATAATTTAAATGAGAATACAATCCGATAAAATGTGCGAGGTTAATCATTAGTTATAAATAAAAGACAGAATATATTTTGACGGTTTTAAGCTCAAAGCAAGATTTTCCAGCAATTTTGCCAATATATTTCCTATCCAAAACTAGTGAGAAAATTGCGAACGTAAAGTCCGTTTTTGAATTATTTAATATATCATTTTAAATATTTCTGAATTTTTTTCCATCATGGGTGAAAATCACAAATCTCTATCTCCATTACGAGAGTGACTGAAAAAACTTTTAGCTCAGAACTGCTATAGCGTATAAGTGGATATGATCTACCATGCTCACATGATTCTATTTTAATGTGCATAGGGTAGAAATAAATTTATTTCATGATTTATATCAATTTATTCAACAGAACTGTAATCTTTAAGTACAGATACTGAATTTTAACCAGTTATTTGTTTTATTCAAATTTGCTGAGTGACTTATGTTAATAAGGAAGGTTTCTGTTGAAACATGACCGGATACTTTTTACGAAAGTTGCTGTATTTCAGTATTTATTTTATATTTTTCTAAGTGTCAAGTCTGGTGTGAATATGTATGCATGTACAATATGAAACGTTTTATAATTCTTATATATAACTAAAATTTGTAACATTAATTTGCTGAACAAATCTCAGAGTTGGGTTGAGATGAAGAGGCCAATTAGGTAGTTGAAAGTTGTTATTTCTTGTAAATTTTGCTGTTTTCTTACCAGCATCTTCCATTTCATCAACCAGGTGATGCTGAACATTAGTAAAATGTTTATATTCTTGCATTTAAATAAATGAATATTATACCAGTTGCACACCGTTTGTAACAAGATTTCCTTTTTGGAAATAGATGAAGGGAATATTGTGATCTGTCCCTCGGTTTTTTACCCAGATTTCATACCTGTGCATGTTGCATATGTTTTTATAATATATAAATAGAGAGAAAGAGTGAGATAGACTGTACGGAGATTTTGTAGATATTGAAATACTTTGTTTAGTATCAATAAGATCAACCATATGACAAGTAGTTGAGTTCATAGTTTATTAATCAAATCGAATTGTGTCTTTTACACTTTCAAATAATGCAGATATCAATTGTTTTGTTCTACATAGTCAACGCTTGTTCTGATGAACATATTCTGCAAAGACAATGTAGTTAAACAGGGAGATGTTTTAAAAATACATGAATACATAATGTAAATATGTTTTGCCCTCAATAAAAAAACTTCTCAAATATATGCAAAATGTCTTAGTATTTTCATTTGTAGTTACACGGCTCACCGGTAAAGTCTGAGTTTGAGGGGTCGATTCCGGACTCGGGTACTGGGAAATAAGGAAGAGGGACTCGATTTGTTTTTCTTTTGGTTACTATAAGAAGAAAGTCTACCTGGGGAGGGTGGGTGGGAACAGTTAGAGGAGTAGGTAACGCGCTTGTTTCTGAGTCAGCAAGTCCCAAGTTCGAAACCTGGCGCTCCTGGGTCCCAGCAAATTACCTTTTGCAAAATAAAATCAAATAAGCACTTTGGATAACTACAAGAGGACCATACGATTTATTTAAAACCATCAGAGTCGATAGCTCACTAGGTAAGACGACAGGCTTTACACGTGGGGGAACGAGCACACTATAACATGGAGAGCAGTAAGCCATGGGTTCGAGTCGAGGTGAAGGAAACTACTATATAGTAAATGCAAAATTGACATTTTGCATAATTTGAAAAATACACGTTATTAAAATTTTTACATCGTACATAGGATTTCAAAAAACTGAAAATTGTATTTTTTTATCTATACAAATAGCCGTACCCGATACAACATAGCATTACAAATCAAAATACAAATCGAGCTTAAAACAACTACCACTGTTTCCAACTAAAACAAAGTGATTCTATGCATTTTGAAAGAAGCTGCTCAAACGCCTAACTCTTTTGATTTTTTCTTGAAAAATGTCCAGGAATATTACAGTGGACATAATACTAAGAAGAACAAAGTTTCCAGGGTTTTGCCCAGAAATATTAAATAAATGAGAAGACTGACCGTATAATACAGTACTAAACTTTTGTTCAAAAGTGACACGAGTGTAATTGTCTTATAAATGATTGCAAATTTCATGGAACATTTTCTTTATCCAAATGCAGTGGTATCTACGATATCAAAAATCCAAAATGCATGGGATCTCTTTTACGTATTACCTCCCCTAGCACGCATGCACTCAGGACTACACGCCTTATTCTATGCCATCATGCTGATTATCGCACGCAACACCTTGAAAATTTAATTTTGGTAAGATAAGTGGCCCTTTGTATATGATAATTGTATATGTAGCTCGTATGTTGCGTTTTTCTTTCCTTCGCATCAAAGCATAAAAAACGTGGCTGCAGTGAATGGCACATTTTTAGTAAACACTAGTTTGTCGTGCGAAACAAAGGCAGCATGAAGACATGATCGGTTTACAACCTAATCCCAGTTATAGCCATTTTTAAGAATTATATGCAAACACAGTGAAAAGTTTACACAAAAATCCGTTTTCTCAAAATAAGTTAAATCATTCATTCAGCAAATTCTCATAAACTCGACTCTGGTCTCCAGTGTTATGTGATCAAGCAACAGCAAAAACAACCCAACAGGACTGATATCTAATTAGGACTTTTGATCTAAATCACCCCTTGAACCCTACCAAAAACAAGGACATGTTTATGTATTTTTTAATTTGTGTTATTATTTTTATTATTATCATCATTACTTTTTCAAAATTTCCTGTTGAATTGTTTTTTTATTATTATTATTTGCTGAAGAGGACTGAAAAAGATGACCGTCTACAAAGCTTCATTTTGATAATTAGGAAAACTCATTACTCTTTGCCACAGCTTATGTGCTAATCAAAATATGTCATCATAATAATACCTTCTATGATTTACTTATTTCTTGGTGAAGATCTATAAATTTTCTTTATGATATTGACTAAGTCTTGAATGACACACAAATCGACACTATGCTGGGAATTTTGGTAGTCCAATCAGAAAAGTTTTTCTCATCAAATATACTAGTATCTCCTCACTGTAATACATGTAGCAAATGTATATTAATTTCGAAAAAAATCTATCCTACCCTTTAGTTTCATAGCGCAAAAGCAACAGTTTGTCCCCTTCCAGCACTGACAATATTGGTCTGTCACTGGGTAGACACACACCGTCAATACACCGAGAACCAAACTCAGTTTATTCTTAGCTTGTATCATACCGCATATTCACAATTTTATTAAGATTCCAATACGTGTGGGCAAATTGAAATAACGTGAGCACATCTGCAACTTCATAATCCTGTAATTTCAGAAGTGTTATTATTTGTTATAATACAGTGTTTTCAATAAATTGTAGATTTACATCTTGTTCTCGTCTTCAACTGAACACAGTATGTCTAGAGAGCTTCCTGTATGTATTTAAGTGATGGAGTTGCGACGCATTTTCCTTCCAAAAGTTAACTTTATTAAAATTTCTTTTTTATATTTAGATAAACAGGCAATTTTTTTCAAGAGAACTTCGTCTTATTACATATTTGTCCACACGTTTAATATTTTACAACCGAACAGAAAGCCGGTCGTACTTGCACAGTGCTCTGCAATGGCTTACTGATAATTTTATGGCAATCACTTGATCGTTTTTGATAATTTTGTAACGATCAGTTAATCATATTGTTTCCATTCATCTCTTAACCAAGGCCAGATTTTATCGACATTAATTTTGTTTAAGAGCTATTCCGAAAGTGCCGTTTCAGGTTCAGGTTCGAGAACTGATGAAGAGAGAGCACTGTACTGCGACTAAGAAGCACGCGCACACACACACACACACACACACACACACAGTACTACAGAGGCGGATCCAGGATTATTTGAAGGGGGGTGCGAAGCCGAATATTTAGTATGTTAGAAGTCAAACGGTGCCATTCGGCAGGGTTTTGAACTATGATTCAGCTAGTATAAATTTTAATTTCAAGAGGGGACCACTGGTGTGATTTTTTTCAGAAATCGAAGGGGGGGGGGGACCCCTGACACCCCCTAAATCCGCCACTGTATTAAACCAGCAATATTCTGGTTTGGCGCTTGGACTTAGTCCGTGAATAAAACGCTCGTTAAGTTCGATTCTTGGGCTGATACACATATTGGTACAAAATATTATTACCCAAAGCAAATATTACATTTCATAACAAACGGCAACCCTGCAAATTAACTAGAAGACGAACTTCGCGGGCGAGACAATCTTGACAAGGGAGCCGGCGCTGGCCACTCAAATCTGATGTCTTTGATGGAAGACCCATCCAGGCACCCAGTAAGCGGTAGTTAGGAGTCACTGAAAATAAACAGAGAAATTCATATTAAAGTGACGATGCCTAAGGGTTTGATATAGTAATAAACATATAATCGTTACAAAAATACTATTTAATTTATACACGACAATATAGTAGACTTCAGGTAGATTTATTAGGCTATAAGGCGTATCCCTCCATGAGGAATATCGTGATGATGGCAAAGGTGCCCACACGTAACATTTTACACTTAAACCGCCGTGCCCTGTATACCAGGAGAGTTACAAAGTTACCAGTCCTCGGATTACGCAAAGGTTTAGGGCAAAAATCTGATAAAAGAAAACGTCTGAGTGATAGAAGTAAATTTCGATAGGTATTTGACAGAAGGGTCCGGTTGGCTGACTAGGATAATTCAACTGTAATTTGTTTCAGTGTGCAGGGACGTAGAGTTTTGTATCGTTTCGTTCGTAATGCTGTTAATTCCTGGAGGAGAAGGTTTACCTCCTAAGCTAGGGAAGGGCTACGCGCCTGCTGCCCCCCCCCCCCCCCCCCCAGGTACATGAAAACGCGTCACTACCCTCTTCCAGGGCCACAGATTGATATTTCATTACATATTCACATATAAATCTTTAGTTAAATGATAGGATTTTTCAACGCAATAGGTAGTATGATAAACTTTGATCTTCTTTATATTCCAATGCACTTACATAGATAATTCCGTTTTCGGAGTGCTAGCGAATTTAGGCCATCTTTTTAAATCAAATTCTTTACGCAAATATTTTAATACAGATTAGAAGATTATGGGGCGGATTGTAAATGTAATCATGAACATTTAAGTTAATAAAGGAACCTGATAGTACCAACAAAATATATATATCACGGCTAGTTCTACAGAGAAATTTTGTTTGTTTTCGGTTTACTGTAAATCTGAGTATACACACAATGGACAATAAAAGTGTCACCCCTTGAATCAGAGTAATCAAAATAGGTAGATCTTGAGTAGTTATAATGCCTGGTCTACTTATAATGTGACTAATGAGTATAAAACTGCTGTACCATGGAATTGTATTGTTGGTCTTTTTGTGAAATTTGATATTAATAAAATGATACCAGGAGCAAATCATCCCACAGTCATTTATCTCCCCCAAAGTATTGGTCCATTAGGGGTGACACTTCTATTGTCCAGTGTGTGTATTTTACTCTAAAAAATCGCTGTCGTGAATAATGAAAAGGGTGCCATTAAGGAGGTATGGATGTAGTTACCTGTCCAGTCGTGTTTAAGACGGATTTACGCGTTCAGAACTTTGGACAGCAGGAATAAACCATTCACTTTATTTTCAAATTCGCTCCCTCTGGAAAAGTAACAGAAAATAATTCATTGAAATTTCAAGCTCATTTTGGACCTCAAAAGCATTCACGCCAGTAAAATGTAGCCAATGGCACGCTATGCCTTATGTGGGAAATGCACCAATTTGGGGAAACATTTCGTCAACGCAAAATACACAGTTATCTTATATCGTCAACACAGTACTTACATGTGTATGTACAACAAACTGCTGCAGTTTTCATTGCCAAAATCTCGTTCTTCATACAGAAATTGTAGCAGTGCGTCATGAGGCTACTTTTTTCTCCATCTTCCCCTGACCTTGGTCCTTTCTGAACACCTCTCACCAAAATGCTCACCTGGATTACATAATAATAATAAACGGTTTACCACCTTCCGCACGGAAGCCTCGATTTAGTCTTTGTTATTGATAAAACACAGTCATGGGTACCTATTCCGGCAAGAGATTCCTGTTTGCTGAAAGTGCAATGGCAAAAATCCTATTTTAGTAATCTTGATACTTGCTGTCAGGGGATCAGGCAGAGCAATCAGATTTTATAGGTCGAATGAATGAACAAACGCGCGGGATTGTGGTAGAGAAGACAGGACGCGAATTTTACCCAAACCCCAACAAACCATCTTGTCATGACTGTAAATTCCTAAGGCAGATCTTCATTCCCAATGAATGAGGTTATTATTATTATTATTATTATTGACACAACGCAGTTACATAGCGTCGTATACTGCTCAAGCACTAAGATATCACATTAGGTTAATGCCGCCGTTCAAGTGTCTTGTCATTTTCATTAAAGTCATTTTATTTTTATACGCTTACTCATATCAAGGAGTTATTGTAACTCCTTGCTTATATATGATCCCACATGTGCTTAGCTTTAGGCCTGTAGGAAAAATCTTAATTATTGTGATATTCAAACAAGTTACTTAATGTATTACACTACTGAAGGAGTGGCAAACTACAAAAATATCGTCGTCATAAAAACTTCGCACTTTGAATTTGATCATATAATTATTAATAAAATACATTAATTAGAGGTCCCGTTTATTGTCAGATGCGTTGTGAGAAGATAACCGTTCATATACCATAGGAGAATTTAGTGTAGGACTATAATCAAAGCGAATCGCATTTCTTTTATTTGAATATTTGCTTATAATGGTAAGCTTGAAGAGAATAAGTGCTACTTGTAGAGAAGATAAACAAGTTTGGCTTTGTAAGTAATGTGCTTTTTTACAGATCTAAGAGCCCGAAACTAAAATACTTGCTTGGGCTGAATATATTCTGAACCTTTACTATTTTTCTTTCGTAGTTTATTCACCAAACGAAAGTGGAACATGATCGGAATGTCTCTAAATTCTTAAAGTTATAAACTTGTGACAAAGAATTAAGCGAATGAACAAATATCATTTGTTTAATGTCATACTTTTAGCCAGTATCTTGGCAATAACTTCGAAAATTTCAATCCATGCCTGAAGGTTAGCTTAAAGGTACCAACTGCTCATTAGGCCCACTCATATTGAGCTGTACTCATATTGTAGGGTCCAAGGAATTGCAGAAACACCATTTCTACCCTAGAGATTTTGATAAAAATTGTAAGACGTAATCTGCAGACCATATGAGTAATAAATATGAAAAGTTATTACGGGGAGGGGGGTGGGAGTGGGGATAATCCAGCGCGTTTTCGAGGCGGTTGCGTACCGAAAAAAGCCACAATTATTACACTGCGTTATATGGGGATGTTGCCAAAACGCCACTAAAATGACAATAAAGCAAAAGTTTAAAAGCGACCTTATTATTTCCATCTAACGTGAATATGTTCTTAGTAGAAGTTAAAGAAATTTATCAAATATATATATATATATATATATATATATATATATATATATATATATATATATATATATATATAATGTCCAACTTTTGTATTCTGAGAGATTGACAAATAGGGCTTCACAGTAGGGCTATTACATAGGAGGCACTTAAACGGAGACTCTGCAATGGCTATGGCCAATCAATTTTAATTAGTTATTAATTAGTTAAACTAAAAAGCTAATTTATGAAGATTTTGTTAAAGGGAGTTAATAAAATGTTGCCTAACAGACGACTAGTTTTTAAAAAGTAGTTTCTATATAAATCGAGAAGTACTAGTACATGTATGCAGTGAGTAAATACCGGGCTACACATGTAATCCGATTATTTACAACGTGTGTGGTACTCATCTAGGCACTGTAGGAAGCTTCTTTCTTTATAATATTAAAAATGCTTAAATGATCCAGAAAAACAACATTACTTTTCTTTATTGCGTTTTTAATGACAATCTCAATTTATATTTGTATATTCCTGCACAGCGCAATGTAACAAACTCCGCAATGAAAAAGTGTGCTGCTTCAGAACGCAGCTTTGACTGGTTTGTAAAGCTATATATTGTATGACACTCCTCACAGTAATGGGGGTGGAAATAAACTTAGTTTGTTTAGATTATGTAAACACGACTTACGAGTTAGTTGTTATGTCAAAGAAAAAAAGAGAAAAAAGAACATCATTGTCAATTAAACAACAAAGCGCACTTGTTAAGTACAGGTGTGGTATGGGGTGACCCCGCTTTAAATAGAAACAGGTCGATATGAAGAATTAGCTATCGTGGAAAGAACGTGTCCATTATGTGAATCTGAGTGTATAGAGGATGAGGCCCACTTCTTAGTTAAATGTCCGTTTTTATTGATGAACGAGTTGAATATTGCCAGGCGTTTTAACAACAATTCTGATCTTTTAAATGATTTAAGTTTTTATTTTTGATTAGTAATGATAATATGTTTAATTTAGTTGCCAAGACCTGCAGCCGATTTTTAGAATTAATGAGAGATTTTTTCTATAAATAATATTTAAGTTTATATTTTACGCGATATTCAGTCTCTCAGAGTTCTATACAGAACTACCATGTTTTACTGCTTTGAATTTTGTACTTCTTTTTATATGGTTGAGACCAATATAAAATATCTTTAAAAAATGTCTCATATAAATACAACAATGAATCTTCTGAACAACCATAATTATTTATTACATTCTATTTATACAGTGTCAGCACATGTTCAATATATATCCTTCATGTTATGTACAAAACATTTCATTTAACACTGGCAGTATTCTTTATAACTAAACCATGAGTAAACTTGGATAAAACTAATACAGCTTACACCAGACACTGAAAACGGCACATTACAGGTACAATGTGTCAGCACACTTTCCAAGAGCAAAACGTTACATAAAACTTATTTAGCTTAAATAATATTGTATAAAGTAAAAAAAAGAAAAGAGATATCTACCGCAAGTTTTACATTATGAAAGCAAATGGTTCTGTAGTTTGTTGAGTTAGGGTGGACATTACAGGTGTGTTAGACAGTAATGGCATAGACAGACAAAGTGACCAGAATATATAGACAAATACACCACCTGTATGTGAACATACTGGCACATTAAATTAAAGTACTAAAAATGACACACATTTTAAAATGTTTTAAAAAATCAGAAATTTTCACCCCAATAACAGGTATGGCTTGTATCAAAAGGTTTTATCATTGTTCCCAAAGTTTAGGTTCTCTGAGCAATCAGGAATACACACCAATGTTACAGCACACTTTCAACATTTTAAATAACACAAAAGTCAATTCAACAATTACAATATTCTAAAAGAGTAAACAGGGTACTCTGGAAAAAAAACAATATAACTGACAACATTGAAAATTACATTGAAAAAACTGGAAAATCTCATATGACTTAAAATAGTTAAACGTTAATAATTTTGTCAAATCTGGTCCAATATTTTTGAAATTTGTACAAATGATGCTTAACAACAATAAAAATCTGTAATAAGCTAAACAGCTGTCTGTGTCTTTTCCTAAGCCTCAAGTTTATTTGAAATTGATCATCAGAAGAGTGAGAATTAGCCAAAAAATATTTCAGTATTACAATATATTATTTACTCTGAAAGAAAACAGCAAATGTGATGATTTGAGGTTGCTTGTGTAAGAGTTGGCATTTTACCTTTAACTGTCATCTGGAAAACAATATATACCCATACAAGACTTCTTACTACCAATGCCAGAAGCAGATAACTCCTTACAATAAGTTTCTGGAAGGGGTTGTTGTTATCACAATATTTGATTATGTCCTAAATCTTGCCAAATATCATGTATGGTACACATGGATAAGACATAGTGCTGCTCTTGGTGCTGTCTTTCACTGCCTGTTTTTTCATGGTAAGGGTACTCTGGAAAAAGAACAATATAACTGAAAGAACTGAAAATTACATTGAAAAGACTGGCAAATTCAATGACTTAAAATAGTTAAACGTTAATAATTTTGTCAAATCTGGTCTAATATTTCTGAAATTTGTACAAAAGATGCTTAACAACAATAAAAATCTGTAATAAGCTGATCAGTTGACTGTATCTAATGAAAAGTGTTTTAAAGACAATATATTTGGGAAAACTAAAAATTACATTGAAAAGACTGGCAAATTGCAGGCCTTAAAATACTTAAATGTTAATAATTTTGTCAAATCTTGTCCAATGTTTCTGAAATTTGTACAAATGATGCTTAACAACAATAAAAATCTGTGATTAGCTCATCAGTTGAGTGTATTTAATGAGCAGTGTCATTGAGGACAATATATTTCGGACAACTAAAAAATTACATTAAAAAGATTGGGTAATCGCAGGACTTAAAAGAGTTAAATGCTAATTATTTTGTCAAAAAAGGTCCAATATATCTGAAATTTGTACAAGTGATGCTTAACAATAATAAAAATCTGTGATAAGCTGATCAGTTGACTGTATCTAAGGAAAAGTTTTTTTAGGACAATATATTTCGGACAACTATAAAATTACATTGAAAAGACTGGGAAATCGGAGGACTTAAAATAGTTCAATGCTAATAACTTTGTCAAAAATGTTCCAATATTTCTGAAATTTGCACAAATGATGCTTAATAACAATTAAAATCTGTGATAAGCTGATCAGCTGACTATGACTAATTAAAAGTGATTTTTTAGGACAATATATTTGGGAAAACTAAAAATTACATTGAAAAGACTGGGAAATCGTAGGACTTAAAATAGTTAAATGCTAATAACTTTGTCAAAAATGTTCCAATATTTCTGAAATTTGCACAAATGATGCTTAACAACAATAAAAATCTGTGATAAGCTGATAAGTTGACTGTGACTAATGAAAAGTATTGTCTTCGGATGATAAACTAAAAAATTAATCATTAAAATTGATCATCAGAAGAGTGAGAAGTAACCAAAACAAATATTTCAATATTGCAATGTA